GTAACACCAGCCTCTGTCCTGGGGCACCCTGCCCAGGAGGCAGGTAACTGAGAGCCAGGTGAAGTATGGCAGATATAAGGGATGAACTTGGTGATGTTGAACCAGCCTCAGGGTGGCTCCAAGTAAGCCACAGGAAGCCCTACCTGTAAAAGGCCTATCACCAAGCAGGCTAGGTACTTCGGACATAGAGTCATGAATCTTGAGAGCTGCTGGGGACCCGATGACAAAGTAGGGAAGGAAAAACCAGGGGCCTAATTGCAATGAGGGGCCTCCAGGGAATGGAACAGCTCCATCCACTGCCCAGGACAGGAACTGTGGGGAAGGGGTAATAGAGACAAGAGCCTGAGGGACAGCTGGCCACTCCGTTACTGCTTCCAGAGCTGCCCATGTGCTTGGATCTTCAGGAACCCTTAATCCTCGGTGGATTCCACCACCACCCTGTTACTGGCCACCCCACAATCTTTTTTTTTTTTTTTTTTAATACTCACCTGGGGATATTTTTTCTACTGATTTTTAGAGAGAGGGAAAGACAGAAATGTGAGAGTAACACATTGATTGGTTGCCTCCTGCACATGCCCTGGGGAGGAGCCTGCAACTGAGGTATGTGCCCTTGACCAGAATCAAACCCAGGACCCTTCGGTCCTCAAGCCGACGCTCTATCCACTGAGCCAAACTGGCTAGGGCCCAGAATCAGTTTCTATAGCAGGTGGTTTCCACCAGAATTATTTTATCCACTGGTTACTTATGCACCTTCCATACTGGACCTTTGCCCCACAAGGGCAGGCACTTCCACCTTAATCTCTAGTCAGGCCCGAATGGGTGCCCAAAGACCCGCCTGTCCCGGCCAGTCCTGGGCACTGGTGGTGTCCTGCCAACAACTGGGCATTCTTGGGCAGGGAGGTGCCACAGATAGTATGAGGGGGGAAGCCTGGGTAGGCCCCAACACAGGCACCCAGAGCGGGGGAGGTAGGAGGGAAGGAGACCTGTCCTCTAGCGCCTGCCCCACCAAGTCAGGAGGCAGTAGGGAAATCTCATCTGCATTCCTGGCCAGTCTCCTCTGACTTGCCAGCTGGAATGGGGAACTGCACTGGTGCTCACATCCACCTGAATGTGGGCAGCGTAAATGCACTGGACTCCCAGCCCAAGGAGCCTGCTGATTCCCACCTACCACCCCAGCACCCCCTCCTCCCCCCTCCCCCCCACCCTGCTGGCATTGCTTTTGGCCACTAGCATCATGGACTGGGGGATCATTGCCTCGCTGGGTCCTATTGTCCTACTGTTTGTTGCTGTGGCCATGCTGACAGGCTTCACCGTGAGACCACGGCCATCACCTTCTCTCAGCGAGAACCCTGTCTGGATCTGGCCGAGGGTGAATTGCTGGCTACATTAGGTGCGGGCAGCAGGGCTTCGGCTCCTGGCTGCAGCCTTCCTATGCTGGCATGCTTGGTTGGCGACAGCAGCTGAGGGGCGGGAGCTGGGAACGCCCTGAGCCCACGCAAGAGGCTTGGTCCCCAGAGAGGTCTGGATGAGCCAGGAGCCTCCTCCAGACCTTGCCCAGGCCGGGTAGATGTGCCACGTGTGGGTCCCAGAAGCCCCCTCCCCAAACCATTCCTTTCTCAAACCTTGAGTGGCCAGACTAAGGGGGTTACTGAGCCATTTTCCTTCCCGTCCCTCATGGGCTCTCCCCACCTCGCTCCACCCTCCGCAACACAGCGTTTTGCTGGGCTCGCAGAGCTGATCACAGCAACAGAGTGGGCCTGGCTTGAGCGCAGAGCAGGTGAGCCGGCACTGGGACCCTGCCTGGCGGGTGTGCGTGGTGCAGGGCAGCAAACTCTGAGTGGCTGCCCTTTTCAGGGAAAGGAATAGCATGCTGTGCTCCTGTTCCCAGCTGTCTGTTTTCCCCCTTGGGTTGGAAGCTCCTCGCTCCTCGAGACATAACAGGTGCTTAATAAATACATGTTTGTGTGATACGTGAACAAGAGGTGGCTTGAAAGTGGAAATAGCAAGTCCTGGGCAAGCTGGGGGTCAGTTGGCCTTTTATTTTGGTTGTGTGTGTGTGGTTTTTGTTTTTTTATTTTTGGGGGGTCTTTTTGGTGTTAATCCTCAACCAGCCATTGTTTTTTGTTTGTTTGTTTTTTAGAGAGAGAGTGGAAGGGAGGGGTAGAGACGCAGAGAAGGTAGCATTGATGTGATCGATTGGTTGCCTCCCACACACACCCCAACAGAGGCTGGGGATTGAACCTACAACTGAGGTAGATGGATGTGCCCTTGACCAGAATCAAACCCAGGAATCAAGTCAGCAGGCCAACACTACCCACTGAGCAAAACCGACTAGGGCCAGTCTGCCTTTTAAAGGAAAGACTCCAGCCCCCTGAGGCCTCAGACTGTCAGGCCCTCTATCCCTTCCCCAGATAGGTTCCCTGCATCCCCCCAAACCAGCAGCTGTCACCCTGGGTGTGTGTGTGTGGCGGGGGGGTGGGGATGGGGGGGACAAAGCCTCTTCTAGGTGCCAGAAAGGGACAGGGCCATTGAGGAGATAGGTGTGAGAAGCCCCAATCAGGGACTGGGGACAAGTGGCAGAGTCCACGAGGAGCAATGAGCCTGGACTGGGGGCTGGGGGGAAGGCCCCCTACTTCCCATCACACCATCTACCAGGGCTGCCCCATGGGGGGGCGGGGAGCAGAAAAGAATGTGTGCAGGCGGCCATTCCAGGGAAGAGGCTCAGCTGACTGCAGCCTCCTTCCTGGGGAGCTGGTGGTGCAACAGGTCCAGGGCTGAACCCCATGAATATACAGCAGTCTGAGCCCCAGGGGCCTCCTTCCACCCACATCAGAAGCCCCCAGATGCTCTGCAGACCCTATCGAGGAGGCTGGGCTGAAGACAAAGCCTCCGAGGCTGACAACTAGGGGAGAGGCTGTTCCCCTGATCTCTGCTTCCTCCCTCCTGGCAGGAGTCCCGAATGCAGACCTCCAGGTTCTCCCTGGAGGCTTGTTTCAAGCCCCATGGAACTCCTAAGTAGGGCCTGGGCATTTCTCCCCACCGTGGCCATTGCATCACCTCCTTTCTTCTAACAGTCCCCAGAGGACCTATTGAAGCACCCAGTCTCTCACCAAGCTCTTCCCATCCCAGGGAGCAGCCAGAGGGCCTTGAAGAGGGTGGTTGGGAAGGTGCTGTTTCTGAACTGGAGCAGAATGTGCATGCACCCTGTCAACTCCCTCATTCGTGCAGAGCTCTTTGTTGAAAGGGGCGCACTCTCTTTATTGGGAAGTTGAGGGGCAGGGTCCCGTAGCACCTGCTCTGTGAGGCAAGGGGTACCCATAGCCTTCCTGCTGCTGCCAGAAGTGAAGGGAGAGACCAGCAGCCCCTGGGACTCTTTTGGGTGAGTCCTTCCAAAGTCTCCCATCACCTCATTAGTCCCTGCACATATACTCCCTGCGTTTGTGCGAGTCAGGCCTGGAAAAGGGCCTGTCTTCCCCTTCTTCAAGCCCTCCTGCTCTCACCTCTTCTCCAGTTTCCCCTGGGAGGCTCCAGTGTCCTCCTGCCCTCTTCTCCTAAACAGCACAAGGATTCTGCTCCTCTCCATCCTCTTCCTGTGGATCCTTGCAGAATCTCAGGCACAGCATAGGATGGCAGTTTCACCAACACAGACACACTCCCGTGGCATCCTACACTGGCTGTCGGGCTTGGCCTGAACTCAGCCTCCCGTCTGAAACATCAGGCCTCAGCTGTCCCAAACAGGATGCGCTCCTGTGTGGCCTTCCCTTTCCCCATGGGGTCAGCCCCTCCTGGGATGCTTGGCCCCCCTCCAACAAGGACCTCGAGGTGGCTGGGAAGGGGGTCTCTCTGTTCAGAGCAATTCCGGGCCCCTCTTGGCTGGGGCCACTCTCAGCTGCAGCTGCCCCATCCCTAGCTGGTGTCCAGGCTACCCAGCTGGGCTTCTGCCTCAGTTTCCCTGCCCAAATCTGCTGGTATATAGGTCAGGCTCAGGGGTACTGCCATCTGTGACCAGGTGCTTCCCATGGATCAAACCCCACTCCCTCTCCATAGGTGACCAAGCCCCTGAACCCCAAGGAGACCTGCCACCTAGTTGGCTGTACCTCCCCCAACTCCCCTCCCCCACCCCCTGCACACACACAGCTTTCACTTCCTCCCTGCCAGCTCCAAGGACTGGGCCCATCATGATGTGGCAAGTAGACACTCAAGAGAACCAGGGACAAGAGTTTGGACTGATCTGGGTGGAGGACGCTAGCCTCATCCCTTAGATAACTCAGGCCAGTCCCAGGGATCAGCGATACAGTTCTGAGCATAAGGCAGGAGGGACTCAAGTCTGTTGAGTGTTGGTCTCATCAAATTCCCCAGCTTTGCAATGTTAAATAACAGGCATGTGGCCAAAAAGGAAACTGAGGCAGGACCAGGTTAAGGAATCTGAACCACACAGCTGGAAATTAGAGCAGCTTTGGTTCAAAATAAGACCTGGTCCCAATTCTGGGTTCTGTCTACTAGAGCAAACTGCTGCCTTGGGGGCACCCCACACTCACCAATACGACTTGGCTTCTCATGCCGCATGTCCTGCATGGACATCAGGGAGCATCCTGGACCCAGACTTCAGACCCAGGGCCCAGCCTGCCTGTTGGGCCTGAGGGAGGAGCCTGCCAGACCCCCGCCCAGCATGTGACACAGCCCCAGGAGCAGTCAAAACCTGGCTGCGGACCAACGACCCTGCTGGGTGGTCCCCCACGGGCTGCGTGGCTGAGTTTTCCCCTCCAGACCCCTCCCGACAGCGAATTCCTGGCTCCCCGGCCCCTCCCCCGATGGCCCAGCCAGTGTCTGAATCTGCTTCTGATTCCCGCTATGCCGACCAGGCCCCTTCTCCTCCCCTCCCTCCTTCTCGGCCCCAGCAGCCCCGCCCCTGGCTGGGCCCAGGCTTGAGCCTGCTGCGCCCCCCGCCCCCACCTGGCACAGCTCCGCGGCCCTCGCTGCAGCCGGGAGGAGGCGGCGGCCCCGGCGCCCCAGGGCCCGCCCGCCCTCAGCCATTCCCGGAGGCCCGGAGACCTGCTCCACCCGGCCCTCCGTGGGTGAGTGTGAGCAGCGGGCAGCGGGAGGGGCCTCCGAGGGCGGAGGGGCCCGGAGCCGGGGCGAAGGCTGTCATCGCTCCAGGCCCTGCAGGAGGACCCGCCAACATCCTCGCTGCTGCGCTGGGCCGGGGCGTGCCCGCGGCTGCACCCTCATCTGGGCCCCGGCTGTGGCCGCCCGGGGCCTGCGGTTGCTCGACTTTGCCGGCAGAGCCTCACACCCGGGCTCTACCCCCACGAGGACAGCGGCGTGGGGCCACGGCCAGCTGGCTGACCCACGGAGGCTCCGGCCATGCCCATCTGGCCCTGGGGGCTGCTGGTGACCGCGGGCACGCTCTTGGCCGCGCTGAGCCCGGGGCCGCCAGCGCCCGCTGACCCCTGTCATGAGGAGGGGGGCGCCCCGCGAGCCTGCGTGCCTGGCCTGGTGAATGCGGCCTTGGGCCGCGAGGTGCTGGCGTCCAGCACGTGCGGGCAGCCCCCCACGCAGGCCTGCGATTCCTCCGACCCGCGGCGGGCACACCCCGCGGCCCTCCTGACCCTGGCAGGGGGCACTGCCAGCCCCCTGTGCTGGCGTTCCGACTGGCTGACGCAGGCGCCCCTCAACGTGAGCCTCACAGTACCCCTGGGCAAAACTTTCGAGCTGGTGTTTGTGAGCTTGCGCTTCTGCTCCACGCCCCCCACCTCAGTGGCCCTGCTCAAGTCGCAGGACCACGGCCGCAGCTGGGTCCCGCTGGGCTTCTTCTCCTCCTGCTGTGGCCTGGACTATGGCCGCCTGCCTGCCCCTGCCAATGGCCCAGCCGGTCCCGGGCCTGAAGCTTTGTGCTTTCCTGAGCCCCAGACCCAGCCTGATGGCGGTGGCCTTCTGGCCTTCAGTGTGCAGGATAGCAGCCCGCCAGGCCTGGATCTGGACAGCAGCCCGGTGCTCCAAGACTGGGTGACCGCCACAGACATTCGAATAGTGCTCACGAGGCCTGCCATGCTGGGGGACACCAGCGACTCCGAGGCCGTGGTCCCTTACTCTTACTCAGCCGCTGAGCTCCAGGTGGGCGGGCGCTGCAAGTGCAATGGGCATGCTTCAAGGTGCTTGCTGGACACCCAGGGCCACCTGATCTGCGACTGCCGGCATGGCACCGAGGGCCCCGACTGTGGCCGCTGCAAGCCCTTCTACTGCGACAGGCCCTGGCAGCGGGCCACAGCCCGGGAAGCCCACGCTTGCCTTGGTGAGGCCTTAGAGGGTGGCCTGGGGATCTTGGATCCAGCCAGCCTGCCCCTGACCCATCCCTCTCTGCAGCTTGCTCCTGCAATGGCCATGCCCGCCGCTGCCGCTTCAACATGGAGCTGTACCGATTGTCCGGCCGTCGCAGTGGTGGTGTCTGCCTCAACTGCCGGCACAACACTGCCGGCCGCCACTGCCATTACTGCCGGGAGGGCTTCTATCGCGACCCGGGCCGTGCACCGAATGACCGCCATGCTTGCAGGGGTGAGCCTGCATACCCCCACCCTCTGGTTTCACATATTCCCAGATGGGTTTCTGACCATTTCACCTCTGTCCTCAGCCTGTGACTGTCACCCTGTTGGTGCTGCTGGCAAAACCTGCAACCAGACCACAGGCCAGTGTCCCTGCAAGGATGGTGTCACTGGCCTCACCTGCAATCGCTGCGCCCCTGGCTTCCAACAGAGTCGTTCTCCAGTGGCACCCTGTGTTAGTGAGTGACCCTGCCCTGCTTAGGCCACCCCAGCTCCCTGCTGCTGCCTACATATCCCCTGAGAGTTCCAGAAACCCCAGGCCCCCTCGAATACAGGCATTCTTCCACCCTCTCTGCAGAGACCCCTGCCCCTGGACCCACTGAGGAGAGCAGCCCTGTGGAGTCGCAGGGTGAGTGGGCACATATCAGGTCCTAGACTGGCATGTCCATGAGAGGAGGGGTGCTATGGGTTCAAGGAGGGTAGGAGGAGAGGTTGGGGGAAGGAGGTGGGGATCTGTGCCAGCCTGCCCACTACCTTGTCTCCCCTCCCCAGACTGTGATTTGCACTGCAAACCCACCCGGGGCAGCTACCGCATCAGCCTGAAAAAGTTCTGCAGGAAAGACTATGGTAGGCAGCTCTCAGGCCTCCCGCCCCCACCTTCCCACCTTGCCCTCCCCACGTTCCCGTTGGATACCCTGACCATTGCTGGACCCCATCCCTCAGGTGCCCCACTGCCACTGGCCCTACCCCGTCAGCTCCTTGGTGATCTCTCTGCTCCCTCCTCTGCGGTGTCCTCTCTGTGCGCTCCCTCTCCAGTGGTTGTCCTCTGTTTCCCTCTGCCCTCCCTCCTGGCCACTGGCGCTCGGTTCTCCTCTGAGCAGCCTGCCGCTTCCCAGCCTAATCCCGCCCCCTCTCGTCCTCTCCGCAGCGGTGCAGGTGGCGGTGGGTGCGCGCGGCGAGGCGCGTGGCTTGTGGACGCGCTTCCCAGTGGCCGTGCTCGCCGTGTTCCGGAGCGGCGAGGAGCGCGCACGGCGCGGGAGCAGCTCACTGTGGGTGCCCACACGGGATGCTGCCTGCGGCTGCCCACACCTGCTACCTGGTCGCCGCTACCTGCTGCTGGGTGGCGGGCCAGGGGCGGCGGTCGGGGATCCAGGGGGCCGAGGGCCCGGTCTCATCGCCGCTCGCGGGAGCCTCGTGCTGCCCTGGCGCGACGCGTGGACGCGGCGCCTTCGGAGACTGCAGCGCCGCGAGCGGCGGGGGCGTTGCAGGGCGGCCTGAGCCCGCGGGCCAGGCTGGGGCTGGGCGGGGCGCTACTCCCACATCAAGGCGCACGTTCGACCAGTGCATCTGTCTGTGGAGGAGTCTTTGCTCACATCGCGCGCGTGGCCATCTGAGTCCCCACCCAACCCTGCCGGGCGCCTCCCTCTGCGCCTCGCGCCCGTGCCCAGAATGGGTGTGACCAACGCAGCGACTCAGAGGGATATGATAGCCCAATGAGCTGCCTGGAACCTTCCTTTGGCAGCTGTTGATGATTCCTTGGACCTTGGATCTCCCACGCTCGCGCTATCTGCCCCCTCCCAGGGGCACCGTCATACCTACAGAAGGCTGTGAGCCTTCTGGTGGGGGCCTCTGCTAACACCCTGAGGGCCGCCTCCTCGTGATGCCGTAGCCCAGAAAAGAGCGCTCTTACCTTTCTACAAGGCACTGTGTATCCCCCCAAACGGTTACGAAGCCCCCTGTGAATCCAGGAGCCACTGTCGGTCTGAGAACACACCGAGGGCCGCTGTGACTCCACTCCCCAGGGGCTCCTAGAATCCGCCAGAGAGCGCTATGGCTCACCGAGAGGCGCTGTGGCCACCACTTTGGTCCACAGACCCGCTCGGGGCTCGGCGACACTGGTTTCCCCGCCCCTGCCAGAACCCGCAGAGGGAGCTGTGACTCCTCCCCCGGCGAGGACGGGGGCCTCTGCGCCCCGTCTGTCCCCTATGCCTGACCTTTCTCTACCGGTTGGGCCTCTGTGTCCCTGTCTCCACTGCGTCTCTGCCTCTGTTCGGCCTCGTTCTTGGCCTGCCTTGTCCCTGTCTCTTGTCTCTGTCCCGCTGTCTCTCTCGGATTCGGCCTTAGGACCCCTCCCGTAAAGTCCAGCTCCTAGGATCCCCTGCGTCCCTTCTCCCACTCGGAACCGGACGTCGTGCCCACCGCGTTCCTGGGTCTACGCGTAACCCGGCGGAGCGGCACCTCCCGCGGACAGCCCTCTGGTCTCCTGATGCCCCCAGCCCTCCGGTTAGCCGGCCGTTCACTCGATTCCTGCCAGGAGTCACCGCCCGCGAACCCCTGACGCTCCGCGCCGGGACCTGTCCTGGGCTGGCCCGGGCTCCGGCCGCCCGGCCAAGGGGCGTCGGTGCGCATGCCCAGAGCCCGCTGGGCTGAGACCCGCGGCACCCGGGGTGGGCAGCCCTTGGCGCGTGCTCGGCGGGGGCGGGGCGGCGCGCGCGCATGCGTAGAGAAGCCCGCGCTCAGTTGCGCTGCGAGCTGAGAAGAAAGCGGTACGCGGCGCGGCACGGAGCGGCGCGGCGGCAGAGGTGGGTACGCGGCGGGCCTGGCACGGGGCGTGGCGGCCTGCCACGGAGCTTCGGGGGCTGCGGAGCCAGGTCGCCGGCTGTCACCGCAGCGGGGGCGTGCAGAGGGAGGGGGCGTGGGGGTCCGACTCTGGGGCCTGGGTCTGAGGTGGGGCGCGGGGGCTGGCCGCGGCACGGAGGTCTGGGGCCCGGGCCGTCCGACAGTCACTGCCCATCGCCCCCGGCGGACCGCGGCTTCGCGGGACACTCACCCCGGGGGCAGGACCGGCGCCCCCTACCAGCCGCCGTCTGCGTGCTGGCCGTCCGGCCCCGGGCGAGGCGTCAGTCAGAAGGAGTTGTCTCTGTGTCACCCCTTCCTTGGGCGGCTGTCTGTCTGTGGGGGGAGGAAGTCCTCTTCTGGACTGGAAATTGCAACAGAATCTCTGATAACAGTTCTGCCATCGAAGACTTGCAACTACTCCCTTTCCTGCCCTCTGCTTGCCTCAGGATGACGTGCCCGCCCACCTGTCGCCTGGCCTCTGAGCCCTGTCCGGTGGGTGCCCCCTTGGCACGGCCACTGGGCCGAGCGGCAGAAGCACTTCCACAGGGTCCCTGGGCGCTGTGCCATCTGAGCCTGGAGGAACACAGCTGGAGGTCGGGGATGGGCCACCTCTGGGCATGGTTTTCTCCACGCACGCAGGGATGGGCACAGGTGGCCTGGGCACAGGTGTTCATCTGCGACCTTAGGATGGAGACTGGTGTGCTGTGGCCTCCTGGGTTACCACCCTCCGGGCCGACATTAAAGGCCAGAGGTTGTTTAAGGGCCAGCGGGCTGTGCGGAGGCAGAGATCGACTATTAGCCTAGAGGTGTGCTGGGAGGACCGGCCTGTGGCTGGTGTGGCTGTGCTTGGGATGCTGGTGTTGTGGTCTTTCCGAGTTTCTTATTCCAAGTCATTAGTTTGTCTTTCTGGGACCAGTAGAAGTTCTCAAAGGTAGTTTTCCTTTTTTTTTTTTTTTCATTGTATGTTTGCTGGGGACTCAGCAAGGACTTCCAGGCCATTACATTTAGAAAGGACCATCCCATTATTGGACAGATTTTTCCTCTGCTTGAGGGTAAGGGCTCCGTCTACCCATTCTACCCCCATCACAGAGTAGGCATCTGTAAATGTTTGCTTGATTGTCTCAAAGACAAGGATATAGACCGGGAGAAACAAGACCAGAGGAGAAAAGATAAAGAAATCTCACAAAGGTGTCTCAGTATATAAAGGTTACAGCCAGTGGAATGACCCCCAATGTGCACTTCCTTTTATTCTGAAAGTTGGGTCCTCAGCTAATCTTCTCAGCCCTCAGATAAAGCCTTTAAGCGAAGTGCTTATCTGGTAGTGAGTGCCCTGTTTAGAAGCTTGTCTTTCCCTGTCAACAGGGCTGGAGTCACATTGCATTCATCTTTGGTCCCCTATTGCCTGGCATGGAATGGGGGCCGGTATCTCTTGAAGTGAACCAAGATGCTAAATAAAACTAGTGTGGTGGTTTTCATCTGATAGTAAGGGTGACCTTCCGGGAGATGTAGAAGTAATCTAGTAATCTAAGCAGGCTTTCTTTTTATTTTAATTTTTTTAAAATATACTTTTATTGATTTCAGAGAGGAAGGGAGAGAGAGATAGAAACATCAGTGGTGAGAGAGAATCATCGACCCGACTGCCTCCTATACGCCCCACACTGGGGATTAAGCTTGCATCCTGGGTATGTGCTCTGACCAGGAATCGAACTGTGACCTTCTGGTTCACAGGCCGACACTCAACCACTGAACCATGCCGCTGGGCTAAGCTGGCCTTTCATAACAATAATAAAATTCACCCCCTGGATCTGTAAGTTCGCCGGCAGGTGGGTCTCACCAGCTCTTGCTGACCACACCTGCCAGGACAATCCAGCAGGCCAAGTGACCTTGGGCACGCATTGTTGCTCCTAATTCTCATTACAGTCTAAGCCAACCTCAGATGACATATTTAAGTGTTTGCTTTTAGATGGGTTCTGGTTTAAAGTACATAAAGACAATGAAGCAGGTTATAAAAAAGCACTTAACATTTACCCTGTTCAATGTTTTACCTGTTTGAGCATACCTTTTCTGTTATGACAACTCTGTACATAAGAGAAAGCAGCCCTTTTTAACTTGAAACAGCAATTTCAGTGACTGTTTCAAGTGTCACTTTCCAAATGGAGATAATATCCAGGAAACAAAGCCTCAGGCTTTTTACTAAGAATCAACTTCAATTCATTATTTGATGGTTTTTAAAAATTCTTTCCACACACGTCTATTGAAATCATCATTCACATGAGGAGGGCCTGTACCCTGTGTTCTGTGGCTACAAAGTTGAGTGAGTCTCTGCCCTTAAGGAGCTTACAGTGGAGTCAGGAGATGGGCCGGTGAACTGCGGCACTGTGGGAGGCATGCCCACAGAGGAGGACAGAGTTTGCTTTGGGCATAGAGTGACATCCCGCTGGCCTTTGGTGGGGGCTCCTGAGAGATGCTTGAGCCAAATTTTGAAGGTTGATAGGAGTGGCAAGACCATATGAGGGAAAGAGCCTCCTGGGCAGAGACTGTATGTGAAGTAAAGGGCATGACCTACCCACCACCTGTTGGGAGAAGGGCAGGGAGTGCTCTGGTGGTTGGAGTAAAGAGAGGGAGATGAAATTAAAGAGCTAGACTGGCAGCAGATTGAGAGAGGCCTTGAGTACCAGGCCCAAATTTGAACTTTACCGTGAGAGTGGTAGGAAGTCACCAAGGGATCTTTGGGTCTTGTGAGTGACTGATCAGATTGTGTTCTCCACTGGTAACCTGGCAGTGATTACTGGGATGGATTGGTGAAGGGTTGCACTGAGCCCAGGGTGGTTGAGGGACCACCATGGCACACCTAGGGAGATATAAGGCCCAGTGCCAATGAAGGGCTGTGGAGGATACAGAAAGGAAAGCAATGAAATGGGACAAAGGAGGAGAAATGGGGGACATCTGTAATACTCTCAACAATAAAAATAAATTATAATAATAAAAATAAAAAAGGAGCCGAGGCCGGTTTGGCTCGGTGGATAGAGCGTCGGCCTGCGGACTGGGAGGTCCCGGGTTCGATTCCGGTCAGGGGCATGTGCCTGGGTTGCGGGCACATCCCCAGTGGGGGGTGTGCAGGGGGCAGCTGATCGATGTTTCTCTCTGTCGATGTTTCTGACTCTCTATCTCTCTCCCTTCCTCTCTGTGGAAAATCAATAAAATATATTTAAAAAAAAAAAAAAGGAGAGCAAAACCATGAGGCAAGTGGCTGAAGGGATGGAGGAAGGGCCAGGGAGAAAGGAAGACTTAGGGAACAGTCCAAGATTGAGTGACTAGCAGCTGGGTCCAAGCCACACACAGTGCGTAGTAAGGGGGCAGACTTGGGAGCAGGTGCTGACTTTCAGGTTGGAGATGTTGAGCTGAGGGTCAGTAAGACTTCCCAGCAGTAGGTGGATATATGTTGGTCTGGAGCCAAGGAGAGTGTAGTGGGCTTGAGGGCATTTTGGGGACTCCTTTCTGTGTAACAGTAGAGCCAGGTATTAGTGGAGTGGGCCTTTGCAGGAGATTATATGGAGTGAGAGAAAAAAAAGACTGAACCCTGGAGGCACCTAATGTTTTATGTCTATAAAACACAGAGTACGCCCTTACCGGTTTGGCTCAGTGGATAGAGCGTCGGCCTGCGGTCTTAAGGGTCCCAGGTTCGATTCTGGCCAAGGG